CTTGCGTTTGCTAACTTTCTTATTGCCTTTTCTGTCCGACTAGTTGGGTGATACTAAAACAATTAGACCCTTCGCCCTCAAGGGCCTCGGGTCAATAGCCCATTCGGCTTCGCCTCATGGGCTATTGACCCGTAGCCCTTGCTGGCTACGGGTCTAAGTGTTAATTAGCCATTAGGTCACGGTGCGCATGCCTCTTTTAATATGTAAGCTGACCCTCCTAGTAACAGGGACAACTTTTCTCCGTATAAACAGGTCTCTGCACTCCTCAGCAACCCACTTACGCTACCGCCGTGCCTGTACGACGCACTCGTTAGTTACAAAATAAAGTGTTACGTGACAAAGATCATAAGCATTTAATGCATCATACTAATCTACATTTGTGTAAATTCTCAATGCTCTTCGCAAACTCATAACAGTTCAATCGAAGCTTTAAGCGCTATTTGGTCACGTGTAATTTTCACTGACCGAGCCATAACAAAATGATTTATGAATGTCCAAGTCTTTTTGTGTGTTGTACATCTTATCACAACTTGTACAAACAAACACGTTCACAGGGGTGTACCGTGTTGAAGTAGGACTTACACCCCCAAAGTCACGCCCACCCCTCCCGTCACCGGCAGTCACATCCCAGGTGGGGGCGGGGGAATGCTCCCATTCGTGTTTCTGAGGTTCTCCTTCCGCTAGTCTTCCTAAGATACTCGTGGCGTGTTTTCCACTGGCGGCAAGTTTTGCACTCAGCGAGGCACTCTGTCGTTTCTCCGTCAATCTCGAGGTTGTTGCCTTTGTTCTTGTCTTAGCGGACTGGGCTCTAGGTTTCGCTGGTGGGCGGGGTTGTAATTGATTCGACATGTAATTGTCTGAGTAGGACCGCTGTCCTTCCCTTATTGCAGACGCAGGCCTTTTCTGTGTCACGTTGGGGTTTTCTTCGTAGACAGCAAGTGCGGGGGATCTGCAAGTTAGATACCTACATTCAGTATCTAGAAATATCACAATAAATGGGAATGTATTTCACTTCACTTCAAAGAACCGCCCACACGCAAATTGAAATGCTTGCCGTTAATTAACGTGATCAAGGGGCTACTTGCAGACACTAGACACTGTGAAGTCCATATCTAGTACATCTACGAAGGTGTGCACAATGGACAATGCTGAACAACTCATTACAAGGGTTCGCCACGTAATTCTATATTCAGAGCCATTCATTCAAGGCGAAGAGAAGAGCAGTTGTGAGTTCTGAGACTAGAACGACAAATTCCACACTATACATTTTTAAAAGAAAATTTCCATAAGTCAATAACGTGTTGTTTGAAGTGCCTTGGTCTCCAACACCACAAAAGGACAAATTAATAAAAATTGATACCTTCGGAGTGAATCTTCCTGTTCGTCGATTAGCCGTTCTTCACTAGAAGACTTCCACAAGACAACAGGTTCCTGTACCTAGAAAATTAAAAAAAGCGGGGAAACCAATAACGCTTTTTAGTCTATTGCCAAGAATGCTTTTGTTATTTGAGACACGGAATCATCAGTTTGTTTTGTTTTTCCCAGTTTCAGAAAACAGAAGACGGAAGTAATCCAGTTAGTCAGCTTCACGTAGAAATGTTACCTGTAGGGGATTGTATGCAAACGCATGCGTCGTGAAGAATATTCATTCGCTTACCTTTTTCTTAGAAATGCTGTCACGGGCATTCATCAGAAAAGCGATAGAGGTCCTCAACTTTTCATTTTGTTCCTCTAGCGTCATAATTCTTATGTTGTTGGCCATGACTTGGCGCTCCATGTCTTTAGCGACATCTGCTTCTGACGGCACGTCGCCATTAAACATGACTTCTTTGTCGGATTGGGAAGTCTTCTGTTGTTTGGCCGCGTCAATAGACGGAAACTCAACCACAAGTTGAAGCTTTTCTTCGCTTTCCTTTAGCTGTTGCTCAAGTTCTCCCGTCTTTGCTTCAAACTCCTCCACTTCTCGCAGTAGCTTTTCCTTCTCGCTTCTAAGTTCTTCAAGAAGATTCTATGGAAAAAATTATGAGAGAGGCGGAAGTTGGCGCCTTTTCTAAGCTTTCAGTTTGTAGGGAACGAAGTTTGATTTTGTAATCATGTAATTACATGTTAACATTGCATCTCACGGAAGTACAAAACACAGCCAAACACAATCAAGGCCCATTTACCTGTTTAGAATCAAGTTCTTCAGAAAGCTTGTCCTTTTCAGAATGAAGATTTTCCACCACACCTTGAAGCTCGTCTCTCTCTCCTTCTGTTTCTAGAACCCTGTCCCTTAACTCTTCACATTCACTGTCCAACTCATCAACTCTCTTAAGAAGTGCGTCATGTTTGCTTTGCAAAGCCTGAAATAGAAAAAAAAAAACCTTGAGTTAAGGCCGGGTTAGTATGGGGGAATAGTCCCTTATATGGGCTATATAGGTATGTGCAGCACAAAGGGGATGGTTTTGGAGCTGTTTTGATCTGAGATAGCATGCACTCTGGTCTTGCACTGCGTATGTCTCTTTTTTTATTACAATTAAGACCATCAACATCGTATATTGTACTGACAGTTTCACAACCTTCTTAAACAGTGGTCTGAACTAGGAACCTGAGTGTAAGGCAGGCCTGAAATAATAGGGTATTGATGTAAGGATCAGGTCTGAAACAGGGCATTGAATTTTGGGTTGGTTCTGAAATAGGGTAGAGGAAATCACAAATCTCTAAAAGGAACAATTTTAGCTGCGAATAGGGTATTTGATTCTGTCTGCGGAAGCTAGCCTTCAGGAAATTGTGTTGTAAAAGCACTAACCCTGTCTTGCAAATATATGGTGCAAGTTTCTGGTAAGAGTGTAGGAGCATCTTCCTCTACCCAACACACCCAGTACCACCCAATGCCCACTTCCAAGGCTGCAAGCCATTTAGTACAGTTCTTTACACAACACAAAAGGACTGATAACCTTCTAAGCATTATGCTGGCAATAAGGTATGATATCAGAAAATTACAATAATGTTACTTGTTCATGTTTTTCCATTGTCTTATTCCTGGCTTGTGTTTTGCCCAGTTCAATGGAAGTGTTCTTCAGTTTAGCATGCAAATCATCTAGTTCCACTTTCAACTGTTGAACTTCAGATTCTACGACTGTTAGCCTTGCCACTTCCTTGGACTCCTTATCTAATTCTGTTAACAGTTTGGAGTTCTCTTCCCCTAAAGCAAAGAAAAGAAATCTAATTTTCAAAAAACGATTACAGCAAATCCCACATTTATAAAAACATAAAATCATAATAATAGCACACATTGTTTGTGTACATCTGAGAAAAAAGGCTGCATGCAAAGTGCTTCTGACTTCAATACTCTGCCTTTCAGAAACTCGTGAACTTGGAAGTTTAAAAGCCAACTAAAAATAATGATTGATTAATTACACTGCTATTAATCATAATTAATCATAATCTTGCATAATTGCATTTTGCATAATTGTGAATTTAAACTCCCTAAACTTCAGTGATCAATTATTGAGTTGTTGACTTTACCAAGAGTTTTAACAGTCTCTTTATACTTCTTTTTCTTTTCTTCCAATTTAACTACAATGTCATGAAGCACATCTTTTCCTTTCACAAGGTCATTGTTCATTTTTTCTGCATCAGATAACAGTTGATCTTTCTCTGCAACAACTTTGTTGAGCTGCTGTTTAAATTCTTCCTCCTTTTGCTGGACTTTACTGTGTTCATCTGACAGTTGCTTTTCTAAGTCTTTAATTTGCTTCTCAAGATTAGTGCAAGCCTGTTTTGATCTGCTAAGTTTCTCTTCTAGTGGATTAATCTGAGCATACAAGTTGTCTAAGTGATCATTTATTCTTCCAAGATCCTGGTTTTGTTCAGATGTCCACCTTGACACATCAGCAGCAGCCATAAGTGACTGCCGCAAGAGTTTCTTCTGCTTTGCTAATGAAGAAGGAAGGCCTTGAGATTCACAAACTTTAATGACCATACTACCAACTTCAATAAGATTTTGCTGGGTTCTTGCACAAGCTTCACAAGGTATGAATGCTGTGTCATATGTCTGTGTTGATGATTCCTGACAAGTCTTGGCATTAGCAACATCTTCAACAGCAAGAGTAAGATCTTGCGCAGGAGTTGAGCTTTCTAGGGATAATTCCTCTGATGGTGAAAGAATAAACTTGACGGAAGATCTATTTGCACTCTGACTTTGAACTTTCCCTTTAACGACAGATGATTTGCCTGATCTTTTATCCAAAGCTTGTTTAAAAAGTTTCACCTCATCTCGCAGCTCTGTAATAGTGCCCTCCATTTTGGACATTGTCTTGTTCTTGGTTTTACTCTAAAGAAGACAAAATTACCTGCTGTTTTACCCTTTGTTTCTCAAGATTGATGAAAATCTTAGTACAATATGGTATAAACTTATTATCAAGACAACAAGAACAGGCAACAATAATAAATGAAATAATCAACAACTTGGAAACCATATTATGATAATGCAACACCAAACTCTTAGAGCTAACTTGATTTCTAAGCTATGGATATCACTATCCATTGGATAAATAACTATGATCTGTGCAGTGGATAGCATAAAATGTTTTGACAAAACAGTTGAACCCCTCTATTTTGAATCCTCAGGGGAAATGGAAAATAGTTCAAAAAAGTGGAGGTTTGAAATAACTGATAGTAAGTGGCTGAAGGGTAAATCCACGAGAAATTATTTTGAGTTCAAAATAACGGGGAATTTGAAATAACCAAGTTCGGATTGCTGGGGTCCAACTGTACATACTGGATAGCAATTAATCTGGCCCCAGTTGTTCGAAAAGTGGATAACGCTATCCAGTGGATAAGTGTTGGCAAAACAAACCAATCTATCCACTGGATAGCGATTTATCCAGTGGATGGCCTGGTGGATAGTGTTATCCACAACAAAATGGCACTACATGTAAGAGTCAATGTGGGATACAGAGTGTCAGTAAGGGTTAACCCTTATGGAAACTTAACCACTGCCAAGTCAGTGATATAAATTATAGGCTAACCTGTTCTCTATTTGTGCTAACTAGAGCACTACATTTAGGCTAACCATAGAACCATTTTGTCATTTCATCTTTTAACCATGCCTGCACCAGACGAATCAAAAATTTTTTGGATGAGAACTGTTACCAAAACAAAATGTACTGGGAGTAGATGATTTGTTTTTGAGGAACTGGAATAAGAAATGCAAATTTAACAAAGAGAATGCCATTGCACCCTTTACCTCAAACTGAAGCTGCTGTGTTGTCTGTTGAGCATGAACCAATTTGCTCCAGAACTTTTTAGCCACCAATCCAACAGACATGGCAGAACCAAGAATTTTACCACTACCAGGCCTGCCATTGCACGTGGTCAGCAGCTGATCACTATACTGAGCCATACCTTGAAGCAGTAGCACAAGCCTGATTCAAGAAATTTTAAAATTATGTTTATTATGACTGCACAAAATAATGGTATCTTCAGCTATCTGTGGGTGAACCTTGAACTTTTTTCTCCAGACCAAGATTCCAAGCTCTTTAAAAGTTAATATCCTAACTCAAGGCAAAGCAACAAACTGAGGAATTTTATGTTGTCTAATAGGGATTCAAGTCTAACCCAGAACATTGAGTCCACCAATTTTCTCAAATTTGCCTCTAAAATACCTTCACCTGCCCGTCAGGCTAGGGTACGTGGAGGATAGAATCAACTAGCCCAAATGCAAAATCCAATAGCTCTGTGCTACCAGACAAAACTTTCTTTGCTCTCTTGTTGTCATTTTGAGTTTTTGAAACACTTATTTTTATCAGATTTTTTCTGAATAATCAAATTATCAAAATCTGTAGCAATAAAAAAGAACCCATTTAACTGGTTTGTAAAAGTTCAAACCAGATAAAGATTTAAAACCACTACATGAGCATTTAAATACAACATGTTGATTGTATTTACCTGTCGATCAAAAGTTCAAAGAGAATGATGTGTGACAGTTTGCAGTGGTCGTCATCATTGGAATATGAATATCTTTCCAGTAGATCATCAATATCAAGTTCACATGATATTTTATCCGGATATTTCCATGAAGGACTTCTGACAGGTCCCACTCTGGACAACAAATCCATTACTGTTGTTTGAACATCACTTATGTCCTGCCTTAAGCTGTCCAAACAAGCTTGACTTCCAAGAAGATGAGCCATTGTAGCAAGTGTTTTACTGAGAAACAATCCACAAAACCACAAAATTCATCCACTTTATACACTCTGGTATGACTATGAGAGGACAAAATTCGAGGTTTATGGATGTAACTTAAGATCAAAGGTCTGATTTCCACAAAGAAGCTTGAATCACTCAGCAACAACTTAACAACAATGCTTCTTTTCCATCAGGAAGCTGAGATATGCTTACATGCAAGTGAAAAGTCATCGTCAAAATGCTGAAAAAGTCAAAGAGATTTTTAACTCTTACGGCATCGACTTCCCTCAAAATTTACATATAATTTCACGACAGAATGAACTAAACTATAATCTTGGATGATTCAAAACATTCAAATTGCTATTTTAAAAAAAATTCCTCGTCGACAGACGCCATGTTTGCTTTGGTTACTGAAAATGTACCATGATGCAACACTTTCTGTCAAAAAGGACTGGGTAACCAGGCGTGTCCAGTTCTCAGGACCAAAATGGCGGACGCGGAGGAGTATTTCGTTTGCCAATGTTTTTTCACTCATAACATTTTTCTTAAGGAATATGAAGCCCACGTTGTGTTCGAAAGTGAACAGCAATTTCAAAACGACTATCGGAGGGTATGTACAAATTTTTCCAATTCAAAGTTAATATCATATTCTGAACTTAGCATCGATTATCTGGTCATGAATTGAAAAGAAAAGTAGTACATTTAAGCTTATCGTTGCATGAGAAGTAAGTGTAAATGTATTTACCTTACAGGCACTTTATAACAGAGGCTGCAAGACAGATGGACAATGGCTGAAGGTGCTTGAACAGGTAATCAAAATGCTCAAGCTTTATAATTTAACCTTATTTATCATATGTTGACTTTATTTAATCTTAGGGGAGGTTTCTCTGTGCACATGCTTCGCCAATCTCTTTGTTCTGACCGTATTTACTCTTTGCAAACCTGATAGATTCAGTTACAATATTTAGGTTCAGGGTGAAGTAGAAAGGAGAAGAATGATGGGAAGAGATGCACAGAAACGGAAAAAGATTATTGCTGCTATTTATAAACCACTACATCCTCATTTATACACTCTGCAGGTAAACTTTAAACATTTTTGAACTCTAAACCTTTTGAAATATAGTCTTTTGTGTATGTTAGCATTTCCACATCAGTGATGTAAATACGATCATATTGCAGAATTTCCTACCAGTCAACCTTTCAGTGATTTTTGTGACTCTTCATTAAGGCAGCCAGTTATTAAGCACTTGTCAACAGCCATCACCCTAATAAAGAACTAAGTGGAAGTGTAATGCATGTATTATACTTCATGTATTTTGAATTATGTAATACTTACCAGGGCTGTCAATATGGGCCATAACCCATAGCACCTGTTTACAGCTGAGCATGCTTGATGGGCCCTTGATGGTATGGGTGAACTTGCCCGTAGTTGGTACAATTCACCCATAAGCAATGATTTTGATACAGATGTGAAGATCAAGGCTACAGATTAAAAAAAAAACCTTAATGACATCCCTGCTAAGTGTCATATCTTTTGTAAAAACATTTCAGGAATCATTCCTTGCTGACAGCTTTCTTTCCATGGTACAGTATGCAAGAGATAATGAGGAGGCTACAGCTGCTGGCTTACTTTCTATGGTAAAACAATGTGATGGCAAGTGGGAGATTCTGTATCAAATCCCATTAGGGAGCAACGCCCTAGCAGATATTTTGATATTTTAGAGTTCCAACATGGCTCCAAGGCTTAGGAAACTGAAACAAAAGAAATCATATCGAGGTTAAGGCAGGAATAAATAATTTCTTTTGCTTCAGACCCCTGAGTCTTAGGAAGTGCCATGTTCAAACTTTTTTATTTCGAAATTGACCTATTATCTTTGAAATAATGAAATAACCTCCTCCCCCACACACACACTCAAAGGATAAAGGGTTTGAAAAGAAATATCCCAGGGAGTTAGCTACAACTGTTACAAAATTTGTTTCTGCCATAAAAAAAAGAAAAAGAAAAATTAAAGCTTTCAAACTGAATGGCCCTGATTGTTCTGTTTGTGGCAAGCCCCAATATGTCTTGTAGTACTGACTCTATGAGAAGGATTTTCCAGTTTCTTGTTGCATCATTTTGATACTATAAGGAGTTTGTGACATGGTTCATGTTACCCAATTTGGCATGTTCTTTTTAACAAAACCTAAAGACATGAATAATTATGATCATGGAGACAAGTTTCTGACCAAAAACACACTTGATTACCCTTCACTTAGAAAGTATGTTATGAATGGTGTATTTAACCAAACCAGTCAAAACTGCCTGAAGACTGTTGCCAAAGTTAAGTCTCAAGAAGTAAAAATTAAAGCTGTGTTTGGTTTGACATTTTGTTTTGAAATGGTTTTGTAATGAATATAATTTTTGATTTTCGTGGTGTGTTTAATTTCCTTTCAGCCAAAAAAGTGTATACCTTTCCAGTATTTACACCAGAATTTTGTCAAGAGTTTATTGAGGAAATAAACAACTTTGAAAGTACAGATCTCCCTAAAGGAAGGCCCAATACAATGAACAACTATGGGGTAAGACTGTATGAACAAATTCCCAATTCCAAAAAATATCCAGTCTAAGATGATGAATACAACTACCATGATTTCCTGCAGGTGCATGTCATAGAAGGAATTGGCCACTGAAAACTTGAAATGACTAACAATAAATAGCTACAGTTCAAGGCATGCTATCACAGCAGTTTTGCTGAATTTCATGTCAAAAAAAGAGCCAAAAGTACAACTGAGTACTCTGGCTAGAATACAAAATGCTCCTAGAACCCCAAGCTGAATATATTGTGCAATTTTTGAAGGGTGAGCAAATTGCAATGTATTACTTTTTAGTAACTTTTTGAAACTGTGACAACAGAATTTGAAAAGGGTTACCAAACCTTTTATATTGATGTCACAACCTCGTGCATATAACCCAGTATATCACTCTTTAGAACTTCAGTGCACATATTTTATAGTTTGTGACAAAAGTAGGCCATTACAGTTAGGTTTCCATCAATGAAAATATTTTGGTTTGACTTTTTTAAGTCGTGCTCATCATAGTACCCCTTTTGAAGTAATTGTTTGGTATTAAATCAATCAACCGTGTTTTTCAATGCATGAGAATATATCAATAATGTGCTAAATAACATGACATCAGATTTCTGTTACTTGACTAACAGTTGGAAGTGGTCTGTGGTTGATCAGGACAAGTGCTAGAACTTTCAATAACCCATCAAATGAAACCTCTTATTGAATCCACTTTACTTTTCAATAAAGGAATAGAAAAATTGTGGAAATTAGTTCAAAATGATTTCTGTGTTAAGATTTAATTTTACAAGGAGGCATTTGACATATGAATCTTGTATTCAATCATTCTCAGATCTTGCTCAATGAACTTGGCTTTGATAATGGCTTTTTCTCACCTCTAAGAACAAACTACTTGATGCCGCTCACCAGAATACTATATCCTGAATGTGGGGGTGATTGTTTGGACTCGCACAAGGCATTCACTGTGCATTACAAGATAGGAGAAGATTTAGACCTTAGTTATCATTACGACAATGCTGAGATCACCTTAAATGTGTCACTAGGAAAGGAGTTCAGTGGAGGAGAGCTGTTTTTCGGTGACATGAGACAGGTATATACTTTACACATAGATGCTCCTTAGTGTGTAGCGGGGTGGTTTGGGCGCCAGACTTGAAATCCAGAGGTTGCGGGTTTAAGTCCCTCTCTGACCACTAAGCTGGATTTGTTTCTCGGTAGACCTTAGTTCAACTCCTCGGCCACGTTTGTAAATAGCCAACTGGTCTGCGTCCTGCCAGATGGGATTTTTAAGCCTATTATCTTTATTTGAAATATTTCTTTCTTACAGTTTAAGTGGCATGCCTGAGAACTAGCTAGTTGTAGCTGAGAGCATCAACCACTACAAACATTCAACATTTAACATTGTTAACAATTTACAACACTTACATGTCCGATGTTGTTAATGCAAGCCGGCATGTTGAGCCTTTTTGTTGTGATTTCTTTCTTTGTTTCTTTCCACATTGAATCCTGAGCATGCTCAGGTATCTCTTGTATGGAATTTCAATCCATGCGACTTTTCAAGGGGAAAGAAAAGGTTCTATGGCATTTACAACTAGCAAGTAGGTTACCTTCCTTATGGTGGAAGCTATGTGGATACTTGAAACCTTGGCCCAAACCAAAGAAAATGTAATGTCAGGCACTCACTTAGAACTTAATGGTACTGAATCAATTCCTATAGTATTACTTGAGAAAAAGTCTGATTTCATATATCAAGTCAATGTTTCCTTGGTGATCAATGATGTTTTTCCCTTAACATATGTGTCTCAGTACATTGGTAACTGAAGGGGAAAGTAGATTCTGATCGTTAAGACTGAAGAGGAGTGCACGCTGCTCTTCATACTCCATCTATTACTGTTCACCCACTTATGAACTATTTTGCATGTCTGACTGTAGGTTCCCCTCAAAGAGACAGAATGCAGTCAGTGTGAACACACACCAAGTTATGGACTTCTTCACAGAGGTCAGCACATGCACGGAGCCTTGCCTATCCACACTGGAGAGAGAATAAACTTGATTATTTGGATGCGGTCCTCCGCAGTGCGTAATAAACTTTGTCCAATGTGCGACGCGGAACCTAGACTGGTGCCTTGTGTTGGTACAGGTGATGGATTTACCACTGGGCAGACTGTGCCAGTCTGTTCCACCCTCTGATCAGGTTGCTTTAGGGAGTGGAGTTCCAGGGCTCTGGTCTAAACAGTGCAGGGCTTGTGGGTCGTGTACAATACATTACTTCTAGATTTTAATGTAGAAGTAATATATGTACTTACACATCTTTGTATGTACTTAGTTGAACTCTATCCGTTTTTATTATGATCAGATTCTCTATTCTTTATCAGTGCGTACGTGAGTTAGGTGTGAAGAAGATAGTACCACGTGACTGGAAGGAAAACAACAGTCTGGGGACGAGTCTTGCGTATCTAATGTTAACATAGTTTTAATGAGTGATCATGCATGTTTCAATACAGAATCCATCCTTGAGGCTAATCGCACTCCCGAATGCAAGGCGACCCTGTCGTTAACTGAAAACGTTTTAAATTTAACACTGTCAGACAGTACGCACTATCGTGGAACGCGCATTCAGTAAGTGAACTTTCAGTAATCAAGCTGAACAAAACGTGCAGAATGTCTGAGCAGCTGCTGTAGTCATGTCATACACTTCCTCATGAACCAGATTGATCTAAAACACAAAAAAGAGAACAAAGTGAGGCAATAAAGAATCCTGGTTTTTATAAAGATTGTGTCCATGGCGGTCTAGCATTCTAGGTGAAGTTTATTCAAATTTCAAATGATAGGTTTTTCTTCCGTAACAACTAAAGGTTAACTCAGAATAACTCGTAAGTGTGACCCAATTTCCACTTGTTGCTGCCAACCATGTTTCGATCCTGCGAATAGAAAACGCTATAATCCGCTCAATGACTCCAACGCAATTCTTTTAGTTCTTGTTATGAGAGTTCATTAGTATACCAAGCAGTTACCTTGTTATTCATTCGCCTTGGAACAGCTACGGTGGCCTCATGGTTAGTACGCTCGCTTCTGGATCGAGCAGTCCAGGTTCGAGCCCTGGCCTAGGACATTGCGCTTTGTTCTTTACTCTCGCAGTGCCTCTCTCCGCCCAGCTCTAAAAATGGGTACCGGCGAATTTAGTACTAGGGGGTTACCCTGGGATGGACTCGTATCCCATCCAGGGGGAGTAGAAATACTCCTGGTCACTTCGTGCTACGTAGAAATCGAAGATAAGCCCCGGCCTAACAGGCCACTTGGCTTCACCCTTTGGAACGCCTACAGTGTAGGCTATTCTCATCACCTCAGTTTGATTAGAGGTCATTACCATCTTATAGCCCCTTGCCTAAGCTGTTATATTTACCTAGAGCATTTCTCGCCAAATTTGACCCCTCAGTGCGGTTTGTCAGGTTACATTGCTTGAGTGCCTCACTGAATTCCTGACACAGCGTAACCGCCCCCTGGTTCTGTGCACAATCCACAAATTGTTGCAGCTCGTACTGACAAGGTCCCTGATCCTGCTGCTGTAGATCATAACGTTGGTGCTTTGTTGATTCCCCACCAAACAGAGCACTACTCACAGCATCACCCTAAGCACAAATAAATGGCAAGCTGGTTACGGGACTGCTCTGAGAGGCAGGGAACTGTGTCCCTTTGTGCTGAGATATTGCATTCCAATAAATTGCCACTGTGCTTCTGGCTAATAAATCTGTGTATAGCTTTGTCTCAATCGCTAGCGACAAAATCTTTATGTGGAGTCAGGGCTGGAATTAATTTTTTTACCAGGAATTGTTCCGTCTATATGGCAATGAACTGAGATATCCCGCTCAAAATTTTAGGTTATTCCATCGACAACGAAGGGGGGTTTAAAAAATTTCTTAAACTTGGCCCACTTCGTAATCATGTCGGGTATATTTAAAAAAAATCCAAAACATGGGGTCACAGTGCCCTTTAATTGTTTTAATGGATGGCCATCTTAATGACCACGTGACCAGCGAGGTTTTCCGTAGGAAGCCTTGTGTAAATAACAAAAAAGCCTTTTATTTTACCACAGAGTTAACAATAATTTATTACAATGTTGTACATTTAAAAATAAAAACGATAAAGGTGCTGGCTACCCGATCTAACGTAAGAATTAGTTTACCCTCGGAAAGGAGAACTATAATTTCTGGAAAAACTCATTTCTTGCTTAAGAAAGAGAAAACATGTACCGTGTTTCTATCGAGTTATAGCTAGAAACACGAGCGGAAGTTTGGGAGAACGAGAAATGATGTGGGAACGCGAGCGGTTAGGCGTATGTGCACAACTTTTTCGATTTCTCCCAAACTGTCACAATTTTGTTTTTATTTTTTATTTTTGACAAAAAATGGAGGTAGAGGAAATGATCTACCAAAAGAAACGTTGGGATCACCGAACTTCCGAGATCGTTGAATCCACAAAAATTATATTATTGACCACTAACACTATTGTTGTTTATTTTACTACTCAAGAGCGCGCGCTCGTTATGACGTGACATGTGAATTGCTTGCACAGTAAGGATACACGCGAGTTCTAATTTGGAATCTTCATTGAATCTTCAGGTTTGGGTTACTTAATTTATCCCTACTAAACCTTCATAAACATCTCTAAAATTGCCATTTAAGTAGGTTTCCGACGAACCTAATGACAACATAACGCGAATCACAAAGAGTTGTGTTATTTGTTGATTAGCTTCCAGTATACGCGCTTGTCCAGCGCATATCATATCACTGATTGGGTGTCGCATTTTGAACACGACAGTCACTGGTTGGCTGCGCTTTCAAGATGCGAGTGGCTAATATGTACCTACCACAGTTGTACCGATCGCTACACCAGCCGCCGTGGACGCCATTTGTCCAAACAGTCCAGGTTGTCTTGGTTGTTGTGGTGCTGGCTGCGCCACGCTTGAAGCAGGTCTGGCCGCCGGCACGCTAGAAACAGGCCTTGGAGGGGAGGAAGACCGCCTCTTACTGCGAGGCATGTGTTCACTTCGTAAAAATTCCGTTGAAGATATAATGCAACGTTGACGTGATGTAAACTCGTTATGGCAACGCCGAATCAATTATGACGCTTGTAATCAGTTAATTTGAAAATTAAAGGGCAAGGAGTTTGGGCCCTTTGGACGAACATGTTATGATGTGTATTATGCTAAAAAGACGTGTATGGTCTGAAAAAATACAAGACATAGACTATTTAGAAAATCTTGATGGACAAAAGCAATGACTAATAAGACATTGATGAAACTGACCACATGACCTCGTCATTATTATTGTTTCTATTGTTTTTGTTGTTTGGCTTTATTTTTTTCAAAAGAGGAACAGAGCTGCTTATGCAACAATTTGCAGATTCCAACACGTCGGCGCGCAATATTACTTGCACAGTTTGTATCATACATAAGAACTTAGTTTGCATAATAAAGTTACTTGATCGATCACACAGCAACGTATAACAATCTTAATAACCGAGAATGAGTTTGTTAAAAATCAGACCGCAAAACATTTGAGACTGAAGCCAAAACCGAGACTTGCTTTACATAACTATGCAAAATCCAAGCTGGAGACGCGAAACGATGTCAGTGTTTAAGTAATGTCAGTATTTAAGCTTCTTAAGCTTATTATTAAATCCCAACTCTTTTTAGCCTCCCCCTCCCCAACTCAAATGTTAATGTTAATGCTCCACTGGTACGCTTCACTGCATATTTGGTGTGGCCAGCTCGTTTGAGTTTTTAAATTAGTAAACTCCGGCTTTGGCCAAGTTTTCCTTGTTGTTTTCAGGTAAGACACTTGAACTGAACTTTGAATTAACGGCATTACTACAGATTACAGAGCCATTTGTCTAGCTATACTTTTTTCGCTCAGTTCCTCGTCGGCTCGTCAATCAATTTTTAGGTAGACTAACTGTTAAGGTAGCTTCTTAGTCCGTCAGCCGAATTCAGACGTTTGTTATCCTTGTTAGTTCAATATGTTACTAACATAGATCTTTTGTTGGCTCGCTGGCCCGTCAGTAGTACTCAGTAGAATGCCAATGCTCGTCTCTAGACAAAAACTTAAGACTGAACCATTTCCTCTTTCTATCANCCAGTATTTACACCAGAATTTTGTCAAGAGTTTATTGAGGAAATAAACAACTTTGAAAGTACAGATCTCCCTAAAGGAAGGCCCAATACAATGAACAACTATGGGGTAAGACTGTATGAACAAATTCCCAATTCCAAAAAATATCCAGTCTAAGATGATGAATACAACTACCATGATTTCCTGCAGGTGCATGTCATAGAAGGAATTGGCCACTGAAAACTTGAAATGACTAACAATAAATAGCTACAGTTCAAGGCATGCTATCACAGCAGTTTTGCTGAATTTCATGTCAAAAAAAGAGCCAAAAGTACAACTGAGTACTCTGGCTAGAATACAAAATGCTCCTAGAACCCCAAGCTGAATATATTGTGCAATTTTTGAAGGGTGAGCAAATTGCAATGTATTACTTTTTAGTAACTTTTTGAAACTGTGACAACAGAATTTGAAAAGGGTTACCAAACCTTTTATATTGATGTCACAACCTCGTGCATATAACCCAGTATATCACTCTTTAGAACTTCAGTGCACATATTTTATAGTTTGTGACAAAAGTAGGCCATTACAGTTAGGTTTCCATCAATGAAAATATTTTGGTTTGACTTTTTTAAGTCGTGCTCATCATAGTACCCCTTTTGAAGTAATTGTTTGGTATTAAATCAATCAACCGTGTTTTTCAATGCATGAGAATATATCAATAATGTGCTAAATAACATGACATCAGATTTCTGTTACTTGACTAACAGTTGGAAGTGGTCTGTGGTTGATCAGGACAAGTGCTAGAACTTTCAATAACCCATCAAATGAAACCTCTTATTGAATCCACTTTACTTTTCAATAAAGGAATAGAAAAATTGTGGAAATTAGTTCAAAATGATTTCTGTGTTAAGATTTAATTTTACAAGGAGGCATTTGACATATGAATCTTGTATTCAATCATTCTCAGATCTTGCTCAATGAACTTGGCTTTGATAATGGCTTTTTCTCACCTCTAAGAACAAACTACTTGATGCCGCTCACCAGAATACTATATCCTGAATGTGGGGGTGATTGTTTGGACTCGCACAAGGCATTCACTGTGCATTACAAGATAGGAGAAGATTTAGACCTTAGTTATCATTACGACAATGCTGAGATCACCTTAAATGTGTCACTAGGAAAGGAGTTCAGTGGAGGAGAGCTGTTTTTCGGTGACATGAGACAGGTATATACTTTACACATAGATGCTCCTTACTGTGTAGCGGGGTGGTTTGGGCGCCAGACTTGAAATCCAGAGGTTGCGGGTTTAAGTCCCTCTCTGACCACTAAGCTGGATTTGTTTCTCGGTAGACCTTAGTTCAACTCCTCGGCCACGTTTGTAAATAGCCAACTGGTCTGCGTCCTGCCAGATGGGATTTTTAAGCCTATTATCTTTATTTGAAATATTTCTTTCTTACAGTTTAAGTGGCATGCCTGAGAACTAGCTAGTTGTAGCTGAGAGCATCAACCACTACAAACATTCAACATTTAACATTGTTAACAATTTACAACACTTACATGTCCGATGTTGTTAATGCAAGCCGGCATGTTGAGCCTTTTTGTTGTGATTTCTTTCTTTGTTTCTTTCCACATTGAATCCTGAGCATGCTCAGGTATCTCTTGTATGGAATTTCAATCCATGCGACTTTTCAAGGGGAAAGAAAAGGTTCTATGGCATTTACAACTAGCAAGTAGGTTACCTTCCTTATGGTGGAAGCTATGTGGATACTTGAAACCTTGGCCCAAACCAAAGAAAATGTAATGTCAGGCACTCACTTAGAACTTAATGGTACTGAATCAATTCCTATAGTATTACTTGAGAAAAAGTCTGATTTCATATATCAAGTCAATGTTTCCTTGGTGATCAATGATGTTTTTCCCTTAACATATGTGTCTCAGTACATTGGTAACTGAAGGGGAAAGTAGATTCTGATCGTTAAGACTGAAGAGGAGTGCACGCTGCTCTTCATACTCCATCTATTACTGTTCACCCACTTATGAACTATTTTGCATGTCTGACTGTAGGTTCCCCTCAAAGAGACAGAATGCAGTCAGTGTGAACACACACCAAGTTATGGACTTCTTCACAGAGGTCAGCACATGCACGGAGCCTTGCCTATCCACACTGGAGAGAGAATAAACTTGATTATTTGGATGCGGTCCTCCGCAGTGCGTAATAAACTTTGTCCAATGTGCGACGCGGAACCTAGACTGGTGCCTTGTGTTGGTACAGGTGATGGATTTACCACTGGGCAGACTGTGCCAGTCTGTTCCACCCTCTGATCAGGTTGCTTTAGGGAGTGGAGTTCCAGGGCTCTGGTCTAAACAGTGCAGGGCTTGTGGGTCGTGTACAATACATTACTTCTAGATTTTAATGTAGAAGTAATATATGTACTTACACATCTTTGTATGTACTTAGTTGAACTCTATCCGTTTTTATTATGATCAGATTCTCTATTCTTTATCAGTGCGTACGTGAGTTAGGTGTGAAGAAGATAGTACCACGTGACTGGAAGGAAAACAACAGTCTGGGGACGAGTCTTGCGTATCTAATGTTAACATAGTTTTAATGAGTGATCATGCATGTTTCAATACAGAATCCATCCTTGAGGCTAATCGCACTCCCGAATGCAAGGCGACCCTGTCGTTAACTGAAAACGTTTTAAATTTAACACTGTCAGACAGTACGCACTATCGTGGAACGCGCATTCAGTAAGTGAACTTTCAGTAATCAAGCTGAACAAAACGTGCAGAATGTCTGAGCAGCTGCTGTAGTCATGTCATACACTTCCTCATGAACCAGATTGATCTAAAACACAAAAAAGAGAACAAAGTGAGGCAATAAAGAATCCTGGTTTTTATAAAGATTGTGTCCATGGCGGTCTAGCATTCTAGGTGAAGTTTATTCAAATTTCAAATGATAGGTTTTTCTTCCGTAACAACTAAAGGTTAACTCAGAATAACTCGTAAGTGTGACCCAATTTCCACTTGTTGCTGCCAACCATGTTTCGATCCTGCGAATAGAAAACGCTATAATCCGCTCAATGACTCCAACGCAATTCTTTTAGTTCTTGTTATGAGAGTTCATTAGTATACCAAGCAGTTACCTTGTTATTCATTCGCCTTGGAACAGCTACGGTGGCCTCATGGTTAGTACGCTCGCTTCTGGATCGAGCAGTCCAGGTTCGAGCCCTGGCCTAGGACATTGCGCTTTGTTCTTTACTCTCGCAGTGCCTCTCTCCGCCCAGCTCTAAAAATGGGTACCGGCGAATTTAGTACTAGGGGGTTACCCTGGGATGGACTCGTATCCCATCCAGGGGGAGTAGAAATACTCCTGGTCACTTCGTGCTACGTAGAAATCGAAGATAAGCCCCGGCCTAACAGGCCACTTGGCTTCACCCTTTGGAACGCCTACAGTGTAGGCTATTCTCATCACCTCAGTTTGATTAGAGGTCATTACCATCTTATAGCCCCTTGCCTAAGCTGTTATATTTACCTAGAGCATTTCTCGCCAAATTTGACCCCTCAGTGCGGTTTGTCAGGTTACATTGCTTGAGTGCCTCACTGAATTCCTGACACAGCGTAACCGCCCCCTGGTTCTGTGCACAATCCACAAATTGTTGCAGCTCGTACTGACAAGGTCCCTGATCCTGCTGCTGTAGATCATAACGTTGGTGCTTTGTTGATTCCCCACCAAACAGAGCACTACTCACAGCATCACCCTAAGCACAAATAAATGGCAAGCTGGTTACGGGACTGCTCTGAGAGGCAGGGAACTGTGTCCCTTTGTGCTGAGATATTGCATTCCAATAAATTGCCACTGTGCTTCTGGCTAATAAATCTGTGTATAGCTTTGTCTCAATCGCTAGCGACAAAATCTTTATGTGGAGTCAGGGCTGGAATTAATTTTTTTACCAGGAATTGTTCCGTCTATATGGCAATGAACTGAGATATCCCGCTCAAAATTTTAGGTTATTCCATCGACAACGAAGGGGGGTTTAAAAAATTTCTTAAACTTGGCCCACTTCGTAATCATGTCGGGTATATTTAAAAAAAATCCAAAACATGGGGTCACAGTGCCCTTTAATTGTTTTAATGGATGGCCATCTTAATGACCACGTGACCAGCGAGGTTTTCCGTAGGAAGCCTTGTGTAAATAACAAAAAAGCCTTTTATTTTACCACAGAGTTAACAATAATTTATTACAATGTTGTACATTTAAAAATAAAAACGATAAAGGTGCTGGCTACCCGATCTAACGTAAGAATTAGTTTACCCTCGGAAAGGAGAACTATAATTTCTGGAAAAACTCATTTCTTGCTTAAGAAAGAGAAAACATGTACCGTGTTTCTATCGAGTTATAGATAGAAACACGAGCGGAAGTTTGGGAGAACGAGAAATGATGTGGGAACGCGAGCGGTTAGGCGTATGAGCACAACTTTTTCGATTTCTCCCAAACTGTCACAATTTTGTTTTTATTTTTTATTTTTGACAAAAAATGGAGGTAGAGGAAATGATCTACCAAAAGAAACGTTGGGATCACCGAACTTCCGAGATCGTTGAATCCACAAAAATTATATTATTGACCACTAACACTATTGTTGTTTATTTTACTACTCAAGAGCGCGCGCTCGTTATGACGTGACATGTGAATTGCTTGCACAGTAAGGATACACGCGAGTTCTAATTTGGAATCTTCATTGAATCTTCAGGTTTGGGTTACTTAATTTATCCCTACTAAACCTTCATAAACATCTCTAAAATTGCCATTTAAGTAGGTTTCCGACGAACCTAATGACAACATAACGCGAATCACAAAGAGTTGTGTTATTTGTTGATTAGCTTCCAGTATACGCGCTTGTCCAGCGCATATCATATCACTGATTGGGTGTCGCATTTTGAACACGACAGTCACTGGTTGGCTGCGCTTTCAAGATGCGAGTGGCTAATATGTACCTACCACAGTTGTACCGATCGCTACACCAGCCGCCGTGGACGCCATTTGTCCAAACAGTCCAGGTTGTCTTGGTTGTTGTGGTGCTGGCTGCGCCACGCTTGAAGCAGGTCTGGCCGCCGGCACGCTAGAAACAGGCCTTGGAGGGGAGGAAGACCGCCTCTTACTGCGAGGCATGTGTTCACTTCGTAAAAATTCCGTTGAAGATATAATGCAACGTTGACGTGATGTAAACTCGTTATGGCAACGCCGAATCAATTATGACGCTTGTAATCAGTTAATTTGAAAATTAAAGGGCAAGGAGTTTGGCCCTTTGGACGAACATGTTATGATGTGTATTATGCTAAAAAGACGTGTATGGTCTGAAAAAATACAAGACATAGACTATTAAGAAAATCTTGATGGACAAAAGCAGTGACTAATAAGACATTGATGAAACTGACCACATGACCTCGTCATTATTATTGCTTCTATTGTTTTTGTTGTTTGGCTTTATTTTTTCCAAAAGAGGAACAGAGCTGCTGCTGCAACAATTTGCAGATTCCAACACGTCGGCGCGCAATATTACTTGCACAGTTTGTATCATACATAAGAACTTAGTTTGCATAATAAAGTTACTTGATCGATCACACAGCAACGTATAACAATCTTAATAACCGAGAATGAGTTTGTTAAAAATCAGACCGCAAAACATTTGAGACTGAAGCCAAAACCGAGACTTGCTTTACATAACTATGCAAAATCCAAGCTGGAGACGCGAAACGATGTCAGTGTTTAAGTAATGTCAGTATTTAAGCTTCTTAAGCTTATTATTAAATCCCAACTCTTTTTAGCCTCCCCCTCCCCAACTCAAATGTTAATGTTAATGCTCCACTGGTACGCTTCACTGCATATTTGGTGTGGCCAGCTCGTTTGAGTTTTTAAATTAGTAAACTCCGGCTTTGGCCAAGTTTTCCTTGTTGTTTTCAGGTAAGACACTTGAACTGAACTTTGAATTAACGGCATTACTACAGATTACAGAGCCATTTGTCTAGCTATACTTTTTTCGCTCAGTTCCTCGTCGGCTCGTCAATCAATTTTTAGGTAGACTAACTGTTAAGGTAGCTTCTTAGTCCGTCAGCCGAATTCAGACGTTTGTTATCCTTGTTAGTTCAATATGTTACTAACATAGATCTTTTGTTGGCTCGCTGGCCCGTCAGTAGTACTCAGTAGAATGCCAATGCTCGTCTCTAGACAAAAACTTAAGACTGAACCATTTCCTCTTTCTATCA